CCAGGGCAGCCAGCAGTACAAGGACCTTCATTGTCAGCCAGAAGAGCCCGTCCCGTGTCCCAGCAGCACCACAGGGCCCTTAAATCCCATGAGGATGGTGGCCCTGGCCCGGCCCCACCAGCTGCCCCTTTCCCAGGGCCCTGGGAAGGTTCTGGCTGGCACAAGCCAAGGTTGGGCACTGCAGCCCCATTGTCCCCACCTCCTGGTCAAACCTGTCCTGGGAACCAGCCGACTCACCCACTGGAGGGTGAGAGGTGGGGAGGTGCCAGGATCCCACCTCGGCAGCCGCAGCTCAGAGCTGCCCTGGCCCGGCCCCACCAGCTGCCCCTTTCCCAGGGCCCTGGGAAGGTTCTGGCTGGCACAAGCCAAGGTTGGGCACTGCAGCCCCATTGTCCCCACCTCCTGGTCAAACCTGTCCTGGGAACCAGCCGAGTCACCCACTGGAGGGTGAGAGGTGGGGAGGTGCCAGGATCCCACCTCGGCAGCCGCAGCTCAGAGCTGGGGGGTGGAAAAGGGTAAATTTGGGTCGAGAAAGTGCAAAATGCAGCTTTTTGCACATGGGGGACGTGGTGACCTCGATGCCTAAACCATGGTCGTGGTGGTGGCAGCAGCAAAACCAGTTTGAAGCCCAGCACAGGACAGAGGTCAGAGCATCCCAGGTGCCTCAAAGCACTTCGGATCCAGCTATGGCCCTGAGGGTGCCCAATGTCCCTTCTTGCAGCCCCCAGCCAAAACCCCACAGATTTGGGTTTGGTGACCCCAAAACCACTCATCTCCTCCCAGGTCCTTCAGGGCTGTTGGCTCCAAAGGATGGGCACGTGTATGGCCAAAGCCACGAGGAGGAACACAACCACCTGCAGGGCTGGGAGTCCTTTTTCACTGCTCTTCTGAAGTCTAGCATGAAAACATGAAGGTGCCAGCCTGAAACCTCCAGGTCTGTTTATTGAGCTGAGGGGACATGGGTTCAGTACGGATGCTCCAGGACATGGACCATGATGTCCAGCACCGCTGCCCAGGTCTCGGTAGCGGTGGGGATGATCTGGGTGCTGGGCAGGATGAAGCCGTAGCACCCCGTGTCCCTCAGCTCGAACGTGAAGGAGTATTTCACCCCGTTGTTGTAGGTCCAGTCAATGGTGGTGCCATCTGCCAGGTCTGCAGGGAGAGGGGAGGAGATGTGATCCCAGCACTGACCGTGGTGGACACAGCGCTGTGGGGTGAGGAGGGCACACGTACAGATGGTGTCCACGATGCTGCCATAGGTGTATTTCGTCCCATACACAACGGCCAAGTCACTCACTGCCTTTTTAGCCACTTCATTCTGCAAGGGAGAGCCCCAAAGTGGTGAGAGCTGGTGGACCAAGACCTTGGGGCAGCAGAGCCTACATCCCAGCATTGTTTTCCAACCCCTCTGCTCCTGCTTTTCCCCAAAACACCCTAATTTTTGCTGGATGGGAGGCACATCTCGTGATCACCCTCCTTTTAGTGGTGGCCTTGGCAGTGCTGGGGTAATGGTTGGACCTGATGATCTTAAAGGTCCTTTCCAACCCAGTTGATTGTATGATTCCAAGAACCAGGTGATGGGCTTCAGGTTTGCTCTAACAAGAGGAACAGGGTCCTGGAATGATCCAGTGAGACTCTTCCATCAAGGCTGGTGCTCACAGCCCCATGTCTATGTTTTGGGACCATCTCACCAGTTCCTGGTGGTCAGGTGCTGGCGCTGTCTTGTAGCCGTAAGGGTAAAGCAGCATCTGGGAGTAGCTGTGGATGGAGATGACCGACTTCACATTCCCATGGCCAAGGATGAAGTCCACGATGGCTTTCACTTCCCTCTCAGAATGGGCGTAAGGACCACGGTAGGTCTCGGAGCAGGGGTTGCTGCTGGAGCCAGAGCCTGGGGCACAGAGGAGGAGGCATCATGCAGAG